CACAGAAGCATAGACACACACATGCATGCACGCCCTGATCTGCCTCCCCTCCATCCCTCACGTTCAGCCATCTTTGTTTGGACAGGGCTCAGGAGTTCCAGAAAAGCTCTCTCAGATGTGCTGAAGTAAGGGAAAAACAAAACAAACTGGCCCTCACACACACACACACACACGCACATACACACACACACAGAGTCAAAATTTATGTGAACGCACAGACACCAACAAGTACTCTGGGCTCACATGCAACACTGTGTAGCAAGAGAAGTAGAGAAGTTCACACACACTCCCACACATACGTACTTGAAGAGTTTCACGTGTGAAATCCAAAATACAGCTTCAACCAGAGTACAAATTTGCAAAGAGGTGAAAAAACAAAGTGGTGTGCATTTTTCTTCGTGGAGGTAGGTAGCCTACCACTGAAGGCATGCCTTCTTTTACAGTGTATGTATGTGTCTGAGTGTGACTGTGTGTGTCCCAGCCCAGGATCACAGCAGCAGAGCAGACCTGAAGCATACCTCAACATGTGTTACCTCTTTGTAATATTGACTTTGTTATAGCTATATGAGTGGGAGAGCAGAGCCAAGAGCCCAGGCCTTGCAGTAGTGGGGCCCTCTGAGTTCGCTAGAAAACACATACGTGAACGAGTCATGAAAATAGAAAACACAGTACCACAATAGGAATCTGTTCAAACAGATTCTAATAAACTATAAAAGGTCCCTGACTTCTGCTCCTGAGCCTTATATTTTAATCTAAACTAAGAATATCTTTGATTCTGTTTCTGCACCATGTTGCTTACAAAGCCATGGGTCTTGGCCCGGCTTCCTGTCTGAGCATGTGTACTAGACAAACTGCAAAAGTCAAAAACTCGCTCTCTCTAAAGCCTTAACTCACTTTGTCAAACATCAAGCTGCTTCTAGACTTAGAATAGATAGCCATAGCCATTTTTTAAAGGTTTAAAGCTCCAGTATGTAACTTAAGGTATCGCTAGCATGGAAGCCAAATTCAATCCACCCTGCTCCGCCCAGCGCTCTGCAGGGAGAGGCCCTGCGGCACTATGATCTGCTATGATCTGCCACGCTCTTCGGATATTTGTCATTTTGAAATTACAGTAAATCAGAATGCAACAAAACTTAATGATCAGGCAGAAATAATCGAAAATCTCTGATTGGTTAGAGAGGTCAGTCCCACTCAAAACCTTTTAGAAGCTAATATCTCTGCACTGCTGCCAGTGCTGTTCAATGAGTCTGGGTCACTGGAGGCTTCGACAGCACCTCTCCACGTTAAGTGTTTTTACGTTTTGGAGCAGATTTCTACAACAAAAATATTGAAAACGTTAAATTCATACTGTAGCTTTAACAACTGACAATATTCAGTGTAACATGGCACTTAGTTCATATACAGTATTACATACAAAAAGCCTTAAAAATTTCCAGTGGAAATAACTAGAACACATGTCAGGAATCTTCCAATTTCAGATGACACATATAAAATAAAGATAAAAGAAAAGCACATATGCTGTTTATTTGATTGCTTTGCAAAAATTAAAGATTGATTATCATTTTCTTGTTCCTGCGAGTGTGAATCCCATCTTGTCTCCTTCCCCTGTGATGACTTTGCTTATACATTTGAATAATGAAGGCAAGTCATTTGAATATTCCCTCTGTATTAAAAAGTGATGTTTTTACACGATGCAGCAATATTAGCCATGTTAATTGGGCTCTTTGGACTTTCCCAGTAGAAAGGCTAAATTAATTACTTATGTCGACAAAATGTCAGACACGCTGATCTAATAACTACAACTGTTTCCAAATGTTTTGTTTTCAAGTCTGTCTTTTTTGTCTTTGTGTGTGCGATTGCGAATTTACTTCAAAACACTGCGAGCGTCCGCTGCCTGAGTTGGATCTAATGAACGAGGTGGAAACAAAATGCTTTGACATCCTCTCCATGTTTCATCGGCGACTCCGGAGAGTCCTTCTCCAATATTCATCCCTGCTTCTCATACTAATCAGCCACCACGGTATTGACTGTTTGTGTTTGTAAAGGGACTTGTATCCGTGTGTGTCTGTGCTGTGCAAACACACCCAGAAACATTTTTTTATGCTCATTCATGCCGATCGTCTGTCCACTTAGTAATTTAACTTGCAAGAGAAAGTGAATTATTTGTGTGTTTGTGTGTGGTGTGTTCATTAATGTGTGCCCACCACCACAGGGGGCTTTGAAGCTCCACTTTTTTTTTTTTTTTTGTAGCTTTTGGCCGTTTTGCAGTCTGGAAGAAAAAACTGTATCAGCGCATTTTCCTCAACTACGAATAAACATTAGACTTTGGGAGAGGAGGCGATGAGGAGACATTATGAGTATCTGTGAATGTGAGACGTGTGTGTGTGTGTGCATACATACATGCACATCCATGCATTGATGCACACTCACATGCGAGTGTACACTGAGTGAGTGTGAGAGCTAACAGAGAGGCCTGCTGATGCCATGTTTCAGACGACCCCTTGATGTGGAAATGAGCTTCTTCGGTCTTACAACTAGTTTGTTCTCACAAAGTCAGCAAACTCTGACATCCCTCCAAAGAAATGCAGACACCTCCCTGCCTCGCAACCTCTGTGGTCAGCATGCAGGATGAATTCCCCATCAGAGCTAAGAAACATAAACAGGGCCATCTTACTTCATCTGATTTTTTTTTTTGTTTTGTTTTTAAAGATCTTTCAGCTCCTTTAGGTGGCTTTTGTCCTGACCTGGGCAGCTCTGAAGCCCATGTTGTTAGCAAATGGAAAAGCAAATTCATGGTCTTACAGTCACGTAAGTTGGTACCACAGATAGCTCAACATGACAAACAGAAGAACCCAAACCATCAGTCTTGTTTTCTTTAGATACATATTCATGTTTTCCAGCTGCATTGTTGTATCCCTGAACAGAGGTGCCTTCAGCATTGACACTTTGTCAAACCTAAGTTGCACCCGATGGTTTTTTCAGTATTAGCATAAATAAAAAAATATTATAACAAATGTTGATTTTGGTTTGGTTTCTAAAATCATGTCAGATTTTCATCAAAATTTGGTTGAATTGAAAGCAATGTCAATTTAAAAGGGAAGGCATCTTAAAATGTTTGGCAGTTTTATTTGATAAATTACCAAAACAATTATTGAAAAGTCTAAATTGTCATGGATTCTTTTGCTGCTGTTGAACTGTGCACAGTCTTGCATCCTCAATCTTTTGATAGGTTGCTTTAGACCAAGAACCTCAGACACTGTAAGTCAGGATTGTTTCTATTTAATCTGGCCTTAAAACATATATTTTTCATAGCTTGAAATGCATATTATTGTTTATGAACATTTGATGAATGATGAGCCATTGCAAGAACAACTTTTATGATCTTGTGTGAATGAGTGTGCACATTTTGTATATATCTTCTTTCTCTATTATTCCAGCTGCTATTATTATTATGCACACACATCTATATTATTACAGCTGCTATTATTATTATGCACACACATGCATCTGATGCAGCGTGCATGCATGCACACTGCTGTTTGAACCTGTGTTTGCACCTGAGGGTCCGTCCCCAGCTGTCCTCGGAGCGGGGAGCGACAGCTGTAGAGTGATGCTGTAGCGATAGGCATCATCAGCTTGCTAGATACTAATTGGTCCACAGTGCTCCTCTGAGTGGCCTTGCTAATTAATTAGAAAGGCAGTGGAGCTGAAATTTTTAATCAGGACACCAGACTCTCCGGCAAGCAGGAAAAAAAGACACATCACCCCATCATTCTGTGTAATCCACCTGACACTGATCTCCCATGTTGCCATATGCAGTTTGTTGTGTGTTTAGGTATTCATATGCTCTGACCAGGGTAAGGAATGCACAGGGCCTGTGAAACCATTTTAATTCGGAGAATTTCAGATTCCATGTGTCTTCATACAAAATGCATGACATGCATTTGGTTTGGAGAGAATGTTGTTAAGGTGGACTTTTCCACCACGTAGCATGTGTGCATCATTTCCACTGCTCTAAATTGTTTACCGATTTGTTCTTATTTATGTCAGTGGAAAGATGCAGATAACACAGTACTATAGCATGTGCTGATAAGAA